CCCCCCCCCCCCCCCCCCCCCCCCCCCCGGCCGGCGGGCGGCGGTGGTGCTTGCTGGCCGTCGATGTCGACTCCATGCATATGATCCGACTCATCACAATTTTTGCTCGAATTGAGACCTGCTGGTTGGTTCGTTTGGCGGGCAGGCTGGGGCAGGCGAGCTGGGCCCTGCTCGGGGCCCACAACTTTGGGAGATCAGGGGCGTTGACTTGGGAGGAGCCGGCCTCGAAACTGAAGGCGGTGAGCCGCCTTTGCAGCACGAGAGTTGACAGGGTTGAGAGCCTGTGACAGGGCGTGGTCCATGGATAGGGTCCTTGGGGGTCACAATCTTAGCGGCTAGCCAGGGGCGAGAGGGGCTCCCAGGAGTGCAGGAGTGCAGGAGTGCAGGACTGGGTGGTGCTGGGCTTTTACGGTTTACAGGTACGAACGTATATGTACCGTGCAGTGTGGCCAAGGTTGGTCTAGCGCCCTTGCTGCTTTTCGAAGGCCTTCACCCTGCCAGTCAATCACCGCCATTACCTGCAACAATTTCCTACAACAAGGACGATACAGCTAGCCAATGTCATATGCAATGTGATTGCTGGCTGCGAACACCTCAGTGTTAGATGACATTTTTGAAGCCCAATCAACTCTGTATGGGATTCACGGGTGGCCGGCTGGTGCTGCAAGCCACAGCTACATGTACCTCAGCAAGTGCGGGATGAGACTTAAAGCAGCGCTGAGTATTGCGGAACTGATCCATTCTGGAGGGGGGCTTTGTTCAAACCCATCTCGAGAGGTCTAGCCGTTGGTGCGCCCCTTTTCTTGCGTGCTCTCCTCGAGACGAACCATCAACATCTGCCCCTCACTCCGCCCCTCTGCCCCTGTCCAGACCAAGTAACTCGAGTGCAGCTCCGAGGCCAGGCCAGGCCGCATGCCATGTACACCTCGCCTGGCTGTCCACCTGATGCTTCAACGCATGGGTCTGCTGGCGCCCAAGGAGAAGCGCAAGCCAAATCCGACCAAGGTGAAATGCAGTGCAATGCGTGGGGGAAACTGCTGGCCCCCTCCACTGTTGAATCAGGTTGGCTGCAGGTTGAGAAGTCGAGGGAGAACGGATCTGGATCTGGCCAGTATTGTTTTGTATGTTACACTCGAATAATGCTCATAGATCTCCTTACTCCCGAATGTAGTTGGAGAGCATAGGATGTTCTACAAGCACATCTAGTAATTTGAGCCACCGTGCATTCTTCCAACTATGCCTCTGAGTATCGCACAGTGCAAAGTTGGCGTCAAAAGCTGTTGGTATCAGAACCGCTGAGTGTCTCTCTTGTGATGGAGCCGGGCAGACTCTTCTAGCCACATCTCTTTACTGCTTAGCTAATCGAGAAACCCAACACAGCCACACCACCCCACATGTGACCACATGGACGTGCGCTTGACGACATTCATCCGTCTGACGCCCCCGAAGTTTCCTTTCTGCCTACGAACCTATTCGCCCTCTGTGAACACGCAATCAACAGCTCATAACCGCCGGACCTCTGCCATCGACTTCACGTACTTCCATCTCGTGTCGTAGGAAAAAACAAGCGACAAGACACAACTGCGCGCGACAACGACAGCTTCCACCATGGCTGCCAACACCAAGTACCAGCAGGCGCCAACTCACGACCCCGATGCCGACGAGCACGGTCTCTACTCCCAAGCACCCCCAGCGTACCAGGCCGAGAGCAGCGCCGCTCAGGATGAGGCCCGTCTCTTCGGCGGCGGCGCGCCGCGCGCCAGTCAGGATGAGGACGGCGACCTGCCCCGACGACTTCAAGTTTGGGCGGCTCCGTCGCCGAGGCCACCATCGACATCCCGCATGCAGTTCATCCGCAAGGTCTACGCCATCCTGACTGTCCAGCTCATCGGCACCGGCGCCGTCTCGGTCCTGAGCTTCTTCAGCGAGGGCTACAAGAC